GCTGCATTCATCCATTTGCTAGAACATCCATTCAGTTTGTAAAGGTATATAATTTTATCTTTGAAGTTCTAGTCAAAATATCTCTCAGGGCCAATTATTTATTCTTAGACAAGGGACTCATGCAAGAAACCTCTGACCTGGGCCTCCTCCCCCCTTTCGGAGGCTATCCACCCAGGAGATCTGTTGCTGATATGGATACAGCACTGTTCCTCATGAGATTTACACTCTCTCCTCCAGATTTTCAAGGGCCATCTAAAGCTCACACTAGACTGCCCGGACCACAATACTTTTCAAGGCAGGGCTCCTCTGCCTATAGTTCTGGCACTCTCCACTTTATTTGCATGTCCCTTAGTTTAACAAAATGCCATTTTATTACTGATCTGTGGCCCGCAGTCTCAATTCTTAAATTTCTGAGACTAAAAACTTTCATTTTCCCCCAAGATGACATGGCCACAAGGCCACCCAAAGATAGAAAATGGAAAACCTGGAACTTCCAGTTTCCCTCAGGATAGCCAGGGGGCAAAGTTGGAATAGGGAAGAAGGGCACACTCATACATTTGTTTCACTCCTACTTATTGTTACCTATTTCAGTCATTCTCCAAGTACTCACACGCACACAATTTCAACGCATTTCCTATGAGGGGAGATCTAACTCCACCCTCGAAGTTCTCTCAGTCACACCACATCCACACACTCTCACACATTTTTTTTTTTTTAATAGATCTGCTGGCGATCTAGCAGGTCAGGTCTTACATACCTGTCAACAGGTCTGCTGGCGATCTAACACCCAGGAGGTGATCAAATTCCTATTCCACTAAAATTGTAGTGGGTTTTAAAAGGATCTTACTTTACTTGTTTCCAGTTGCTTCCCCAATGACCCACCCCAGGGACCTCGCCAGCTGAGTCTTAACCAGACGTTCCTCTCCTCCGGGAGAATTTGTCCCAGGAACTCTCTGAGGACCGCATGGCCAGACCAGCAGGAGTTCCCCACCGGGGGGTGGGGGGGTGATCTGTGGTGCAGACAGAACCTGACTCATTACACAACATTCAAGGACTGGGTACCTAAGTGCTGCTTTACAGTGACAAGTACGACAGAGGGCAGAACACAAACATGACAAACCAGACATATGTTTCCAGCCCCCCCCCCCTTTTCTTACACTGTCCAGGGGGACTTGAACCCACGCTGGCTCTGACCAAGTACAGAGACAAATAGAACACAAGAAACAATAAACACAGGACATTAATTACAACTGGACACTTCTAGCAGATAGTGCCCCGACCCCTGCACTGGTGGAGGGCGGTCAGATCTATCTAGCCAGAAGAATTACACCCAAAACTGGACACTCCCAGCTGTCAGATCTATCTAGCCAGGATAATTACACCCAAACCAGAAGGATTACACTAGAATCAGACACTCCTAGAAGGCCCCTGCCTAACTAGAAGAATTACACTGCACCAATTCCAGACACTTCTGCTGATAGAACTGATGTCTCAAGCCCTATCCTAGGGGAACGGCATCAACAACCGAGTCCGATCTAGCTTCTATCCCCACACCTGTCACCTTCTGGCAGCAACAACGCCTTCTGACAACACCAAACGATCACCAAAACAAGAGATACAGACAGAGCAAGAGACACAGAAACATTTATAGCCAAGTTAAGACGCCTCATACATGGCTGGCCGGCACTCATACACACACTAAACTCACCTCCAGAGGAGTGTCGGAGCAAGCCTGTGGTGGGGGTTTGGGAGAAATTTCCCGGCCAACACACCAAAATGTTATGCCCGAAATTCTCCCAAAAGGCCCCAGCAGACAAATCCCGAGACACACTCTGATGTAAAAGCAAGAGGTGAGCTTATTCAAGCCCAGGCCTGGTCTCTCCTGGCATGCAAGCCGAGGAAGAGCCCCAAACCCGGGGTGGAGGAAGTTTTTATGGGGTACAGAAAGCAAGAGGGGTAGGGTCGGATATGAGTACACTTTCGATTGGTGGTTGGTGATTTCATTAGTAAAGGAGGATTTGGATTGGTACAGGTGAGGGGTGGGGGAAGGCAGTGGGGAGTGGCTCTGCAGGTTTTACTGGCAGAGGTTGGGGTGGAAGGGCTAGGAATGGAGTTTATGCAGTAAACAGCTAGGAATGGGGCTTGTGTAGTAAACAGCTAGGAGTGGGGCTTATGTAGTTTATGTAGTAAACAGCTAAGAGTGGGGCTTATGTAGTAAACAGCAAGATGGAGCTAGTCTGGCCCTCTCAGAATGATCTCCTTGCTGTGTGGCATGTTCCTCTTGCTGTGTCAGCAATGCCTCCTGTTGCTGTGCCAAATTTAGCTGCTTCCTCTGACAGTGCCACAGGCTCACCCACTTGTGGGGGGGGGCCCAAATTTGGTGGGTGGGCCATAGGAAAGCCAAGGCCAAGGCCTGGTGGAGGTGGTGGAGGAGGTTACAGAGTGGGGAGTCCCATGGGTAGTGGTGGCCCGGGAATCCCAGAATCCCATGTGCTGACATGGGAGGGGGAGCAGCTTTGTCCCCATTATAGGTAAAACACCTAAATTGTCTCTTTCCCCCATAGCCTTAGGCTTCATCAGATAAGAAGAAAGAAAATAATACCTGACAACATATTCTTCATTAAGTTATGTTAAACTGGGTTATATTGAAAGGATTATGCTTAAAGGTGTATGTTGGGTAGATTATCAGATTACCAGGGAGAAGCTACTTACAGCGCGGTGGTCATAAACTGTTTAAGTGGATCAATGAGGTCATTGTTGCATTGTGCTCTTGTACAAAATTCCCTAAATAAGCCAACTGCAAATAAAGAAGGTCACCATTTTGCCTGAGGGAGCAGATGGTCACCTTTATTTAAAACATAATTTCAATAAGCGTGCTTATTCTTCACGACATCGCTTTTCTGTGAGACCCTTATGGTAATATTCTGGCGTAGCGAGCAGGGTACCAGGATACCAGGGTACTAGGGTGAGAAGGGTACAAAGGGTGTTCTTTGTGAGGATAGCCTGGCCAGTTTCTTCAGGGAGACTCTACTTCGACATTCCAGACAAAGCGGTGTAAGCCTAAGGTAAGACACGGAGGATTGAAAACAAAGAGGTAAGGGTCCCGTGGGTTTGTGAGACTCTGGATAAAGTCAAAATGGGTAATAATCATTCCTTGGAGGAACAATATGTTGCTTTGCTCAAAACTTTGTTGCAAACAACAGGAGTCTCTATGAAGACTAAAATTCTAAGGGGATTATTCCAAGTAGTAACTAGACACTGTCACTGGTTTACACTAGAAAAGAAAAATCAGCTAAATATCAAAGTATAGAGGAAAGTTGGAACCATTCTTAGAAGAGCACACCAACAGGGAGAATTTATTAGTAGAGAGGTTTGGACTACATATCATTTGGTTGTAGGTGCCTTAGAACCATTGCAGTCTAACTCTGACTCGGACAGTACTCTTCATGATTTGCTATCCCTACCTCTGACTACGCGGAGGAGGGTGCATCTGCTGAACAAAATATATATGATATACCTTTAAAGAGTCCTTATGGGATGGGCTGTTCTACTCATTGCCCCCGGGCAAGGACTTATCTGATTAAAGGCATAGTGAAACTGATTCTTTTTTTTTTTTTTTTTTTTTTTTTTGAAACTGATTCTGATGATACTACTACCAATGTCTCTGATGCAGAGAAGACTTTAAGAATCTTAAAAAGTTACTTACTGAAGGCTTTTTCTCCATGAAAAAGTGGTTTCTGGAATTATAAAAGTGGCAGACTGGGCCTCCTGCCACAGTCCCTCCTGCTGTTCCTAAAATTGTCCCAACTGCTCCACCAGCATTCTATCCAGTCTGGCCTGATCTTAAAAACTCTAGAATTCATTTTAAGGTCAAGCCTGATATTTTTAATATTGTTCATGAGGCAGAGGCTTCTACTACCTCTAGAAGAGGGAAGGAGGAATCATTAGTCATGCCTGTAACTCATATATATGATGATAAAGGCAATGCTACCGTCAGTTATACTGAAGTCCCAATTAAGATACTAAGAATTTTGAAAGATGCAGTTTATGCTTATGGGCCCAATTCAGCCTATGTGGTGGGGATCCTATCTTTTTATAGTGGAAGATTATCACTTCATTCCTTTGGATTGGGACACTTTGGCTCGTACCACCTTGAACCCAGGTCAGTATATTCAATTCAAATCCTGGTGGACTGAAGAGGCAAAAGTACAAGCTCGTAGGAACAGAGTTACTGGTGGACTCACTTTTGAAGAACTAACAGGGACTGGACCTTTTGAGACAGTGAATGCTCAGGCAGGTCTGACTCCTGAACAGATAATACAAGTAAGGGATGTCTGTATTAGAGCTTGGCAGCCTTTAGATCAGAAAGGGGAAATTCAACAGCTTTTTACTAAAATATTCCAGGAGAACAATGAGCCTTACACTGAATTTATTGCTTGATCGTAAAGTGCTATTGAAAGATCTATTCCAGGAGAGGATGCCTGTAGGTTATTGCTCTTGCAGTTAGCCTTCAAAAATGCGAACACTGGCTGTAGGCAAGCTCTAGCAGGAGTAAAGAATCAGGAAAATGTTACTATAGAACAGTATATCTGTGCCTGCCAAGAGGTAGGTTTAGGAACCTTTCAAGCCAATTTACAAGCTTTGGCTTTGGCATCTGCCTTAGCAGCTAACATATCTAAGGCTAAGTGCTTCAACTATGGCAAAGCAGGCCACTTGAAAAAAGAATGTGGAAAAAAACTGAAATTAAGCTCCCCGGTGTCACCACTGTGGAAAAGGCTGTCATTGGACTAATAAATGTAAATCCATTAGAGACAAAAACGGCAATATTTTATCCTCTTCATGCAGAGGAGGAACTTTCAATACTGATCAGAACCAAGGAAACTTGGTAATGGGGTCTGCTTGAGGCCCCAGGTCAAGATTTGAGAAATGGAGACCTCCCTAAGGAATTATCTACTGGTGTCTATGGTCCCATTCCTTCTGGAACTGTGGGTTTAATTTTAGGCAGAAACAACCTAATCATGAAAGAACTTAATGTTCATCCTAGAATAATTAAAACTGATAAACCAGTTTGGGTGGGGCGGTGGCCCCTCCAATTTAAAGCACTTCATCAATCAATTCAGTAGAAATGTCAAATATTTTAAAAAATGATATAATATTAAACATATCACAGGAATTCCTGGTAATAGCACTGGACAAGCTATTATTGAAAGGCAAAATCAAACTTTAAAAGAAATGCTCTTAAAACAGAAAAAAGGGGGAGAACAGTATAACATCACACCTAGAAATAAATTATCTGCTGCTCTCTGTACCTTAAATTTTTTGAATATGAATGAGAAAAATGAAATACCAGCTTATAAACATTGAGTAACTGTAACCTCACCCCCTCTTAACCAACCTATTTATTATAAAGATGTAATTAAGAATGTATGGATACCAGCTACTGTTATACGTTGGGGAAGAGGCTATGCTTACATTTTCACAGATAATAAACTTGGTTCCAGACACTGAAATCATCTGACATTATGACTACTGGTAATTTCCTTTTAGCTATTATTGCTGTTCTATCAATAACAACAAGGGGAGAGACTTATCATTATTGGACATATGTCCCTAACTCCCCTTTACTAAGAGGAGTTAGTTGGATGGAACCTACTGCACCTGTTTATATTAATGATTCTGCCTGGCTTCCAGGCCCCTATGACACCAGGGGACCTTTTAAACCAGAGGAAGAAGGCACTACCATTTTGAATTATACTACCGGAGTGACCGGTACTCCCATTTGTATTGGTAACTATGCATTGTCTCAATATGGCTATGCAAGCATGGGTAAGCTCATATGAATATCCATCAAACATACCACATTTGATGTCTCAAATGTATATATTGAGTACATATGCATGGGAAAAACATCAAGTTAAAAACGTTCTGACTAATCCAGAATTACCACCATGCCAGATGCATTCTTTTAAAGAAGTTCATAATTGGATTCATTGGGTGAAATGTAAAGGATAATATCCCTTTATGTTGCTAAATATCACATATGGGGAGATTGTGGACTGGGGACCCATTGCAAGATTACACACCTCATCTAGTGCTCCTGTCCCATTTGATGTCCCAGTTGACAGCCCAATGGAGAATTACAACTATCCATCAAAGATGTAGTTGGAATAGCCACTGGTCACCCTATGAATTGGAGTAATGGTGGGTTTTCACCCCCCCCTCCTGCTCTTGGAAGTTATCCAAAGCAAGTTCATTTATGGAAAGTTGCTGTTGCCATGCAGGCCGTTAATGCCTGGAGGGATAGTCTGTCTCACGAGCCTGAGAATAATCAGTACACTATGAGTTTTGAAGTTAAATATACTCAGTATATTCAGTCTTGCCTACCATTACCTTTTGCATGGCTTAAAGGAAATATAAATTGGAACAAGGAAATGGGAGAATTATTCTGTCCTGCTTGTCAATTATTTACTTGTATTAACTAATCTGTGAGTTTTGATCCCTCTAAGGAACAGCTGTATTTGAGAGCTCAAATGGGAGTATGGCTGCCAGTGAACTTATCAAGACCTTGGCAAGAGTCCCCGGCTCTATCAATATTGCAGCTATTGGCTGAGAGAATCCTGAAGAGAGGTCACTGATTTATTGGACTGTTGATTGGTACTATTTGGGGGATCATTGCTGTTAGTGCAACTGCCACTACAGCAGGAGTTGCCTTGACACAAAATATAAGGACACAGACTTTTGTTGCTGATTGGCATAGAAATTCAAAACAGTTATGGACTACCCAAAGACAAATAGACACTGAAATATCTAATGAAATTTCTGATTTGGAACAGACTGTCATTATGATGGGTGATGAATTGGTTAGTTTAAAAAGGCAGACAAAACTAAAATGTGATTGGAATATTACCACTTTTTGTATTACCCCTGTAAAATATAACGAAATGCATTTCCCTGGGAAAAAGTTAGGAAACATTTGTTGAATCATGAGAATTTAACTAATGATGTTGTAAATTTATGGAATGAAGTGTACAATACTTTCCAATGTAATTTGGAAAAGGCGGATAGTGATGTGATTTTAAAGGGATTAGCAGAAGGAATAGAACAAATGAATCCTATGCCCAGGATCAATGGACTTATTGGAAGTACCATTGGATCTTTTGCTTTCTTATCTTTTGCTTAATTTTATATATCATGTGTAAGAAGTTAAATCAAACTACTGAGGTGAATGAAAGACATGCTGTCATTTTTACTTTAATGATGTCTGATGTGAATGCCTATATGCCTCTGGCCAAAAGCTGCTTGAGAGAGCAGTGAAAAGACTTTGTGCAGGCATACTTAAGAATGTTAGTTGCAGGCCTAACATGAACAAGGTTTTGGCTGGAATAGCATTTCCAGATTGCAATAAGGAATTAAGGTTGACTTTATAGGCCTATGAGAAAGCCCTTTGGAAAACTGGCCAGATACCCATCAGTAACCTTTCCTGATCTGTGGTAAGTGACCCACAGGTCTGGAAATGGTAATGTTATACAGGTATCTAATGTCACAGATGAAACTTGGGCTCATGAGAGGCTTTTGAGAAGTCCAGCCTGAGAATTCCTTATAAAAGCTTCCAGCAACTGCCTCCCCCAACTTAAGATCTACATGGGAGCAGAAGTTTGCACACAAACTCTTATATGCTCCAAAAGTTTCTCTATGCCTTGCTTAAAGATTCAAAGTAGTGGCCTCCAAATGGCATGGTGACTAATGCCAATAAGAAAAAAGGGGGGAAATGTAGGTGAAACACCTAAATGGTCTCTTCTTAGGCTTCATCAGATAAGAACAAAGAAAGTGATAACTGACAACATGTTCTTCATTCAGTTACGTTAAACTGGGTTATATTGAAAGTATTATGCTTAAAGTTGTATGTTGGGTGGATTATCAGATCATCAGGGAGGAGCTACTTACAGGGCAGGTGGTCATAAACTGTTTAAATGGATCGATCAATGAGGTCATTGCTGCTTTGTGCTCATGCACAAAATTCCTTATAAAAGCCAACTGCAAATAAAGAAGGCACCATTTTGCCTGAGCAAGCAGATGGTCACCTTTATTTAAAACACAATTTCAATAAGCGTGCTTATTCTTCACGACATTGCTCTTCCATGAAACCCTTACCATATTCCCCTTTCAAAACCGGCTGATTCAGCACCATGACAGTCTGAGGGGTGTAGGTCTGCAGCTGCTCCACCAGCTCCTCTCCACTCCCCTGGATCGGAGCTCCGATCTCTGCCAGCTTGGCCTCCATAATGGCCAGGAGGTGAAGGCGGAGGCAACTGCAAGTCAGTTTTTGGAGGCTTGGGAAGCTCGGTTGCCATCTTCGTGGCCAGAAGGTGCCAATAATTCAGCTTTTAAAAAGAAAGGAAATTCTGACACATGCTATAACGGATGGATTTGGAAGATATTATGCTGAGTAAAATTAGCCAATAAGAAATAGTGAAATTTCTATTTGACTCACCATATAAGGTTTTAAAGTATGATCAAAACATTTCAATATTTGAAGGAAAAGTAATATCATTAATGTGTGGATAGCAAATCAGTGAGGCAAGAGTTACTGAGACAGCCATTGGTGATCACTTGAAAGCAGGAGTTATTTCAGAGATTGCAGCATTTTGGAGACAATTTCTTCCTGAAAGAAAAAAAAAAGAAGTTAAAATTGATCTTATGATTTCAGTGTATTTATGGGCATCTGGAGGCTTTGCTAAAATGGGTAGAAATAGTTTCTTAGTCAGAATATGCTCTGTGAACTCTTGTGGTGGTATTCTAAAGAACAACTCAATGGACTAAGATTAAGATTTGTGAGAAGACTCTCCCATCACACTAGCAAGAGAGTGTGTGTGTGAGAGAGACACAGGAGGAAAAATTAAAGGTAGACAAAGTGTGAATGTCTGTTTTTGACCTTTATTCAGATGTCAGGGATGCCTGAAGATTTTAGTTTAGTCAAATCTCCCTTGAATCACTAACTCAATTCATAAGTGTACATTGATCTAAGATAAATGTGAATCTGGATGTGGTTACTCTGTACTCAGGGTCAAGGTTAATGGGTAAGGAGGAACCTGTAGTAATGAGGCTTTGGCACCAGAGAATGAAGGATAGTCACATGTGTCTGAGGTGGGGGTTGGGAAAGCAATGTGACTAATAAAGTTAAACAACTAAAGGGACCTGGAAATGATGGCTAACCTGAGTTGGGAGGGTCTGAGCCAGCTCAGGCTCATCAATCACAGCCACGTGTCCTAGGTCCTGCATGACCTGGGGTCATCAGAATGGCATACAGGGAGACTTCTGAAATACCATTCCCAAAATACTATTTTTTTGCCTGTTCCATATATTTTCTTAAAAGAAATTAAATCCAGGCAGGTTAAAGCCTATTGTCTCAGGAATTTGACTGCCAATCCAAAACTGAAGCCACAGTTTCTTGTTAAACTAAAGGAGCAATGCAAAGAAGCAAATAATTGCATTGGGAAAACAGAGTTATTCAGTGATTTGGGGGCCAGATTGGGGAAAAACTAGTACTCACACAGCTTATCACTGTATCAATTGCTTCTTGCAAGATTTTGTGAAATCTTTTCTTCCTTTTATGGTGTAGAATTACCTGAATTAAAATATAATCAAATTATATTTATTATTCAATTGTCTTTAATTAAATTTAATGCTAATAATATAATTAGATAATTGTGATTATGTTGTCCATTTTGCATCACTGTAAAATTTTCTTTTTTGTATACTCTCCAGATCAGTAGAATGTGGGGAAATATCAAGTGTTTGGAATCATCGTATTTTACCTCCTAATGTTACCAAGTTGGAAGCAATTAACCTTTCAAGAAGCCCTCTCCTCTGACATACAGATGGGTGTCTATTTCCAGAGATGACTGACATGCACATTTTGTTGACCTCACCTTTTTGCTACTGCAGAGGTCAGTTTTCTTCAGTATCTTCTGTTTTTGACTCACTGGCTTTCTCCTGGTCTCTTTCAGAAACCAAGGAATATTTTTCAACCTCTTGATTATCCAGTTTCAGATTTGGCTCTTCAAATAAATCAAGCCCTGTGTGGATGATAGCAAGTCAGTTTTTTCTGACTTAGTGATATCTGAGATCAGTACAAGCCCTAGCATTCCAGGCATATAGGAATATATACATGAAGGAATGACTATATACATGAGAAAATGAGTTTAGTGAGGCTAATAGCCAGAAACAGGTTCTAGTAAATACAAGAAACCAAGTATAAAATGCCTTATCACTCAAATGCCATCTCTGACCCTTTTGTCCATCCCAGATATCTTGCAAAACCCCTTAGGACTAACCTGGTGAAGTCGCTTGAGGCACGTCATTTCTTCTTGTCATTTCTTTATCACTTTCTGATGGTATGTCTAGTAGCTTTTTAATGGAGTCATCTATTTCATAATTTTGTAAAAATTTTTCTAGAAATTCAGCAGAAATGACAGGTTCTCCTGAAAATATTTTAAAAAATTGCTGAAAACTGAAACTTCCCAGGAAGGCATATTTTTACCAAAAATAGAAAGGCATTAAAAAAGTTAATCATAAATGTTAATTAAAGTCAACAGGACAGTGTTGAGAAAGGCATATCTCAGAAATGCCTTCCTTTTGGGATCTTGTCAACAAAAATCTAATTAACATTTCTAGAAAATTAAAAAACAATTATGGTGGGATTTGAGAAAATAGAGTATTTCTGCTTACTGGAAATGATCAATGCGTAAATCTATGAGTGTTTTTTTTAATTGCTCTGCATTGCCTCTTAAAATTTAAACTAAAATTAAGCCAAGGGAAGTTATTCCAGGTTTAAGGGTGTCCAGAAGCTTTCTGTTGGAACATTCACAGGCGGGTAAGACATGAAGTGGAATTGGGGAGAGTCCCATGGCTCTGTCCCAATCTATTTGGTATTCTGAGCTCAATACTTACTGGGCCATGTACAATGCCAAATCCAGTAAACCAATTTAGCTTTAGTGAAATCTATGCTCCATCCATTACTACCATAATCCTTACAAGAATATTTATAATTATTATAAGTAATTTTTTTAGAATGAACATTGTTCAAAATGCTTCATAGAACTTCTCCTCTAGAGTACACCGTAAACAGGGAGTCATTAACATTTGCATAGAGAATTTCTCTCCTAGTACTGGAACAATATTTGTTTTCCCTAAAAGAGCAATGAATCCTAATAACATCCATAATATTTCTATGCTATCAGAGCTTACCTCTGTCTCCTGGGTTGAGGAGTTCCATTTCTAAAATTTTACCAAGGAAACTAGCTTTTATAGGGAAAGCCAATTGAATCAATGTAAATTGAGTAATTATGTTAGATGGGGGCCACACACACCTGGATAATCTGATGAAAGCTTCAGATTCTTTGACCTGAAGATTCACATTCTTACTTTCATATGAATACTACATAAAATTTCTAGGGGCTTATATAATCTTCAAAGCCCATTTTTGGAACAATCCTGTTTAGAATCGCCAGATGAAAGAATGTTCCCTAGAGACTCTAGTGTGTAAACAGTTATATTAAGCATAACTATAAAGAACTATGTTGTGCACACTGTATGTTTTTCACTTTAGGATTTAAGGAAGAAAATATGCATTTGGCATTGTGGTTATCCAAGATATCTACCTGAATGCAAAATGCAAAAGATTTTGTTAATTCCAAAGATTTCTTTCCCCTTCCCACCCTGTCAAATGGCAATTTTTCTTCTTAAGCTCATGGAGGTTATTTTCCTTAAGGATCACCCAAAGGTTCAGCTCTACAAGGTTGGATGATTAAGTTGGAGAACTCATCTAAAAAAAGTGCTACATACCTCATTACTGAATGTCACTATGGTTATTTTTGAAGTACTCACCTTGAGAAGCTATACTTCGATG